TAGATAGTACGACACGTTGCGATGTAGTGCTTCTCCTCCGGTGACACTTTCCCGCGGACGAAATTTAGGATGGTATTATTAGCGCGGTTCCAGCGAGCGACGTAGGCGGGATCCGTAGATGGATCTGGTCGAGGATAATGGCCGTCGAGCCACCGTTCGTCGTACTCGTTCGTCCCTAGGTGTTGCCGAATGTCCGTATCCCAAGGCATCCAGTTCCCTTTCGACCTGTCCAGTTCGTCGATATGAGACGCGTGGTGCAGCTCTAGTTTCCCCCCGGAGATGAGGCTCGCCGCGCTCGCGAACGTGGCGAAGCGCTGCTGAGGTACATAGCCATGTTGTCCAGCATAAGGCGCAGCAAACTGCTGTTGGTACGGGAGCTGAGGTCCGCCTGGATACTGGGGAGCGTGACTCGCAGCCGCGTACGTTTGCTGTCCATACGCCGGAGCGTGGTACGGCGCCGGCGCCTGGTAGGGCTGTTGAGGTGCTGGTGGCTGGTACACTGGCGCCGATGGGTACGTGGGCGCTGGCTGATACGGGGGTGCCGATGGGTACACGGGCGCTGGCTGATACGAGGGCGCCACATGATACGTCGGTGCCGCTTGGTACGTTGGCGCTGTTACCTGCTGCTGTTGCTCGGGATAGGCCGGCACTTGCGTCTGACGCGAGTATGGTGCAGGCTCCTGTGGCTGCTGATGAGGAGGCTGGTCGCGAGGGGAATGCGTATTAGCAGGATAGCCGTGGCGATCCAAAGGATGCGTTGTCAAAGGGAAGACATGAGGAGAAGGTGCGTTCTGCTGTTGTTCATTGCGTTCGTGCGAAGGATTGTTGGATGCTGTATGCTGTCTATCATTATGCTGAGAGCGAGAATTACGATTACGTCGTCGACGCGGTTGGCTCGATTGGGTGTTGGATGTATGCGTGTTTGTCAGGGATAATTCTGAGTCTGAGCCGTGTTCTCGTGAAGGAGAGGATGCAGAGGTTTGGCCTCGACGAAGAGTGATAGATGAAAAAGGACTGCGATTGCGATGATTGCGATTACGGGAGAAAAGAGAGTCTGAGTGATCGTCGTCGTGAAAGGACTCATGGAAAATCTCTTCGGCGGGAAGGGGAGCAAACAAAACGCGGGGTTGGGAGCCTGAGGATTCTGGAGCGTACTGTGGTAAGTCACCCAAAAGCGTGGCCATGTCCACTGTAGTAGACTCGACCGGTATGGTTTCCTCCGGCTCGGTATCCTCCCGAGTATACGCCCTCTGCAGATTCGACATCGAGTCGGGCGAACGAACGCTTCCAAGCAGAGAAAAGCAAAGATTGAGAAAAGTTGGTGAGCCTGCTGGGTCCAAGCAGGGATCCACCGTGTACTACGGGTCTTCAAGGTCTAGGGTGCGAAGCACAAGGCGCTCATAACCTGTTAGAACTAGACAATGATCAGACCTCTTACGCTCGTAGTACAAGCGAATAGATATTGATGTACCTAGACAATGATCAGACTAGGTACAGGTAAGTATGCGTTATGTGTTAGACGTCTGGACGGCACTCACCCTCTTACGCTCGTAGTACAAGCGAATGAGGGAGAGGCCGGTGGCTGAGGACGTCTATATAGCTGATTCTCTTCTATCACATCCCGCCACACATGTCACCTCTTCACATCGCCACATCGCCACCCGCATCGAGCGGTGTCGCTGGAATCCCGATTCCGACAAGGTCATTAACTTAATTCCCTTTCGCCGAAGATGCGCCAAGCTTACGCTAACATTAGTAATGCTCGCTTTAATGGTCATTCGCACTGGACAAAGCTGGCCACGCTCGGCGCTTTTGAAGGTAATGATACGCGACAGCGTGCTATACTACCTATGCATCGTGTGTAAGTGATATCACGCCCATT